CTCTATTATAACAAAATGGAAGCGTTTGGGAACAACAGCAACTCAGCCACGAAGTGGTAGGCCACGTAAAGTGACGGAGAGGGGTCAGCGGATGCTGAAGCCCCTAGTGCAAAGAGGTCGCCGACTTTCTGCGCTGTTAATTGCTACAGAGCTACAAACTTCATGTGACCTTCAGATTAGCCCAAGTACAGTACGCAGAGAGCTTCATGGAATGGGTTTCCATGGCCGAGCAGCTGCAGCCAAGCCACACATCACCAAGTGCAATGCAAAGTGTCGGATGCAATGGTGTAAAGCACGCCGCCACTGGCCTCTAGAGCAGTGGAGACGCGTTCTCTGGAGTGATGAATCACGCTTTTCCATCTGGCAATCTGATGGACGAGTCTGGGTTTGGAGGTTGCCAGGAGAACGGTACATTTCAGACTGCATTGTGCCGACTGTGAAATTTGGTGGAGGAGGAATTATGGTGTGGGGTTGTTTTTCAGGAGCTGGGCTTGGCCCCTTAGTTCCAGTGAAAGGAACTTTGAATGCTTCAGGATACCAAAACATTTTGGACAATTCCATGCTCCCAACCTTGTGGGAACAGTTTGGAGCGGGCCCCTTCCTCTTCCAACATGACTGTGCACCAGTGCACAAAGCAAGGTCCATAAAGACATGGATGACAGAGTCTGGTGTGGATGAACTTGACTGGCCTGCACAGAGTCCTGACCTGAACCCGATAGAACACCTTTGGGATGAATTAGAGCGGAGACTGAGAGCCAGGCCTTCTCGACCAACATCAGTGTGTGACCTCACCAATGCACTTTTGGAAGAATGGTCAAAAATTCCTATTCCGTGATGTTTTTCACTCCCGTTCCTCCCGTAGGTGTTGGAGATCACAATTACTGCAGAAATCCAGATTCATCTCGGAGGCCCTGGTGCTACATGTTACATTACTGACCCGGGTGATGTGGTCCATAGACAGTTCTGACATTCTAGACATTCAAGCGTGTAAAGGTTGGTGACTGTGGAAAAAAAACAACAAGCTGTGACTTTTCTCTGTTGTTAATACAAAGCAAACCAGGTGAAAACATTTGAGTCTGTACATTTTGGATCACCTTTTTTGGAATTGGGAGCTACTCTTAAAATGAGCAGGCTATTTTCCATACATTAAAAATGTTAAATTTATATTTAATCATATAAAGGAAAGTGGAAAGTGAACTACTTGTCATTGTGACACAGCACACCACAAAATGTGACCTCTGCTTTTAACCCATCACCAAAGTGAACAGTGGGGAGCTTTAAGCACCCAGGGAGCAGTGTCATGCTCAGAGCACAGTGTTAACTTGGCAGCTGGTGGACTTGAACCTGAAACCTTCCAGTCAAGTCTGCTTCCTTAATCACTAAGCCACCACTGCCCCTGAATATAAAATATAAACTGAATATATTTTATAAATACATTGTGCTGTCAACAGATTTAAAAAATTGAGTGATTATTATCTCTAATTATTGCTCTAATTAATCTACTTTTTAATCTCATTTAAAGATTGCTGAGAAAAGCCCTCAACTTGAGGAATTTTCATTTAAATTCATTACATTATTGAGGCAGATCAAAAGATTGATATATAACAAAAAAATGGCTTTATAAAGTAATTTATTGTTTTTAACAGACTTGAACAGATGTAGTCGTAGCCATTTTATTCCACTGTAGTTGAGACTGGTCTCAAGTGCTGCCTGCAACCTTTTAGTTACGTCCACCACGGAGGGATTATTGCTGTTCTTTTCTCAAGTTTGGTTTTCTTTTCGCCATCGTACATCTTGTGTCATGTCTGTCTGTTTTCTTTTCCTGTTGTCTTTGTGGGGTTATCCACGGGATCACACTCGCCTGTTGGTAATTAGCTTCACTTGACACCTGGTGCTCCCTGTGTATTTATACCCCTCTCCCTCATTCTGTAGTGGTTGGATCATTGTGATTGTGTTGGATCATTGTATCTGTTCCTGTGCTCAGCTTAGTGTGTCCTTCGAGTTCTTAGTTTGTACTTAGTAGTTTATTCCTTGTCTGGTTTATGCCTTGTTCCTGGTCTTGTGAAGAAGTGATTTTTTTTGTTGTTTTGACCTTGCACTTTGAAAATAAAACTACCTGCACCAGAAAGAGTCTCACCAGTACTGCATTTGGGTCCTGCCTGCTTCCTGCAATGCTTCCTGCGATGCCCGCACGTGACAGAATGATCCAACCAAGACTGGACCCAGCGTACTGGGGATTTCGGTGCCACGCAGCGAGAATGGGAGAGAGTGAAGGCACAGCTGAGCGCTCTGCAACCTGACCACGGCTTAGCGTTCCCTGCAGCAGCCTCTCCATCAGTGGGACCTGTTTTTCCCACCCTCC